ATTTATTACATATAAAGCAGAAACAAAATGAAATAAAATAACATTTGTACAACAAGTGTAGACAAAGTCAGTGAGATAATATTTTTTTGAGATCAAGAGCAATTGATTAGGAAATAGTAAAGTTCATTAGTAAATTGAACAATTAGTACCAAATTCACATATTTTGTAAATATGATGCATTTTTATTATATTGCAGTCGTTCCCTTTCGCTTTCGAAAAACGCGATGCTAGGTTTGTTACAAGTTCGGCCTAATCCCGGGCGCGTAGAGTAAAGGAGAGAAAGTGCGGCCTTGCCAGAGCGTGATAGATTTGCCGGCCGACGAAAGTAGGGAAAGTGATATGATTTTCGGGAGAAGACATCTATGAATCACTCTGCGATTTTCAAGGGATGATTCAGAAATAAGATTAAAGAGGTTGAACAGAAGATGATGTATTTTTGCAGATAAAGAAATCTAGTAATATTGCAATTATAATAACCGATGACGACCAGCGGTAGATATTAATTTTTATTTATAATTCTGTAAAAAATTAAACAAATAGAGAAGTAAATATAAAGTCTAAATCTAAACCCTGTAGTCTGATTAGAATTAGATAGAATTATTGATATAAAAATTTTAGCTTTTTTTGTTCATGTTTTGTTTCAAGAAAATGTGTTCTTGAAATGTTCACTTGCACTCAAATGGTCGAAATAAAAAGCAATAAATAATTAACATTTTATTATGCACGTTTAGACACTGTACGTGTGTCATTCAGCACATAAACAAATTCAAACCAGGAAAACACACAAATTTAAAAAACATTGTTAAAATAAAATAATAAACTAAAAATAAACCAATAAAATAAAAAAATAAACTAAAGTTAAATACAAATTGTAAATCAAATATAAGGTTGTCAAATATCTCCCTTCCGCCTTTTTGTATTATAAACCAAGAGCAAAAAAGCGGAAGGGAGATATTTGACAACCTAATATTTTACTTACCAAGTTTGCTGCATGATATGCGATACTTACACCTGACTAAATATATTTAATATATATCACAATAATAATTTTTGAGTAGCAATTATTACTCAAATTAACCATTGAAATGATAAAAAACATTAACAATTCGAATTTAAACACTTCAGCGGAACAAATGTCAGTTATACTTCAAAAGTGACAGCGAAAGCCTTGATTTTGTATGGACATATGGCTCCATCTACCATTCAGCATTTGAACTTGCAAAATAAACAAATGCTAGGTGTCACCCAGGTATACCATTTGAAGAAAAGTCAAAATGCGTTTTGACGTTTTGGTTTTTCAGCAGATAACCCTCGATATTTTGCGCAACTGTTGTTTCTTTCACATCAAGAATAGTAAAATAGCTTAAAATCACCGGAGCTCTTACAACTGTATAATAAAGAAAAAAATCCAATTGAATGTGCAGGTCTGATAAATCACTGGGCGTATAATGGCTGCTGAAATAAAACCTGCTCCAAGGAGTGTAAGTGACAGATTTAGTACTACCAAAAAACCTGTGTTATTAAGTAAATTAGAAGGATGCAATGACGATATTAATGCTGCGGTTTTGATACCTGGAGAAGATGGAGTTATTAGCGTTTGTGATGATAAGTAAGACTAGTTTTCTAATTTTCCTTGAACTTTGCCAGAAATTTAATCTGTTGCTCAAATAAGCATGACTCTTTTCAACAGAACTGTCAGAGTATGGTTGAAACGTGATAGCGGACAATACTGGCCTAGTATTTGCCAGTACATGCCCTCAGGATGCACATCTATGTTTTACACACCAGAAACAAAGCAATTATTCATAGGTCAAGAAAACGGTACAGTCTCAGAATTCACATTGGAAGATGATTATAATAGAATGACTATGGTATGGTATATTATACAGAATTATAATCTCAAGATTCCTGTTCAAAAAATATGGTTAGCAAAATTGTACAATTTTAGGTCAGGGAATATTTAGCCCATCAAGCTCGTGTTACAGAAGTTATATTTGCAATTAACTGTGAATGGGTTTTATCTGCAGGCAGAGATAAAGTTTTTTCTTATCATTGTACGGAAACAGGAAGAAGACTGGGAGGATATACATTCGAAGCCTGGTGTACTGCAATGCAGTATCCTTTTCGAATTCAAATTTATTATTTTAATAATTTTGTCAATAATTGCACATCTTTGTATATTTTTCTGACTTCACAATTAGATTTGATTCTCAGTCTAAACATGCATTTATTGGAGACTACAGTGGCCAAATTATCATGTTAAAGCTAGATCATTCAGGAGCTGCACTCGTTACGACTCTTAAAGGCCACACAGGTAGCATTAGGGCATTGTCATGGGCTCCAACTCCACAATTATTGTTTAGTGGTTCATTTGATCAAACGGTTATAGTTTGGGATATTGGAGGTAGACAAGGAACTGCATATGAACTTCAGGGTCATAAGTAAGAAATTTTACAATCATCAGATGTCAATCTTGCTTGATGAAATGTCTGGTATGACAGAGATGCTCATATTATGCCTAATTTCAGTAATAAAGTAACATCATTATGTTACTCTGGCACATCACTGTGCTTACTGAGTGGAGGTGAAGATTCAGTAGTTGTGTGCTGGCAAATGAACATACCACGACGTGAAACACCTGATTGGATAGAGAGTGATACTTGTCAACTGTGCACAAGGCCATTCTTTTGGAATCTACGAGCTATGATGGATCAGAGACAACTAGGTTTATCCCCAATAATAATCATAAAAGGTATTTTAGTAACTTGGTGCATTACATCAAATTTATTTATTTAGGATTAAGACAACATCATTGTCGTCACTGTGGAAAAGCAGTATGTGATAGATGCTCAGTTGGACGAGTAACTATACCAGTAATGGGTTTTGAATTTCCTGTTCGTGTCTGTGATCCATGCAATAACCAGCTTAAAGATACAGAGTGAGTACAGACACCACAATCCAAGAGAACTAGAACTCAAAAATAACCTTTTCGCTTTTAGGAGGCCTTCCCTTGCAACTTTCCATGATGTAAAACATAGTGTAACAGCTATGAATTTAGATGATCCAAGGAAACAATTATTGACTGTTGGACAAGACAGAGTAATCAAAATTTGGGATGTATCTGCAGTACTGCAATAGATGTATATAGACTACATAGGTTACAACTTTTATTGCATGTGCCTACTGTAAAAAACTTACCTGTAATTTTACATGAAACATTATTTGCTCCTTCTTATGTTTATGTTTACTTATGTTTTTGTATATGATATATAGAATATAAAATATACATCATAAATTATAATTAAATAATAAGTATACATACATATACTATGTCCTTCTATTTAAACAAAAATGGAATAATTTGAAGTTAAGCTTCTTTAATTTAATACAATTATCGCGCAATAAAAATTAGTCATTATAATATTTTGGGAATTTCTTAGTGGTAGAATGTGATATTTAGTTCTGTTACATAAAAAACTATGAACTAATGATATAAAAGAATTATGTTCTCTAAAATAGATTTTATTAGATGTATCAAAAAGATAAAATATTGTTTACTACAAAAATATATATGAATTGTTAAATTCAATAAGATATTGTTTGAAAAGTTTATTATAAAATTATGAATCAACTACATTTTTATTCCTTATGTATATTTTTTTTATGACTTATTTTATGATCTGGCTTATGTAAGTTATTATTAACAGCATAATTAATAAATAAAATTTTGTTAAACTTAAAAAATTATGTTTAATGTTACAAGCAGTACCATCTTCATGGCTGTGTGATTAACACAAGATTAAACGCATTTGTCTTAATTAGAAAGAAATATCTATTCTTAAATCGCATATGTTTTTTACTGTATTTTGCTATTATGCTTGAATTTTGTAAAATAAAAATGACTTGACCAATTGTTTTTTAAAATAAGTTTTATTTGAAATGTATAAAGTTACTTATATGTATATCATTAACCAATGTTGAAGACAAAATCAAATAAATATACTGCCTAATTAAAATAATTGTTTTTATTTATTGCTTTTTAGCAAAAATATTTATGTGTAAAACTTGTTTGATTTATTACAACCGCTTTTATTAAAACCGTCCCGGCCGATCTTTACTGAAAACTAATCAGCATGATTCCCAAATATGTTTCGAACAGTTTTTGAATTTTATAATCGAATCAGATTTACAACGGCTACAACGTGGAGAAAATATTTTCCACTTTTTAATTTAATAATGCTCTTTGATTCTAAAAAAAGAACGGCTCGACCGATCGTGACGAAGCTAATCAATCAACGCAAGTCCTTATCGAGTTTGATCTCAAACGATTCAAAATTACTTAAACCTTCAAGACAACATAACATTAGTAAATCAGATTTTCTGACAAAAATAAAACTTCTTGAGGAAGTTAAAAATAAATATAATTGCTATGTAATAACAATAATGTAAATCTGCGAAACTCTTATTATTTTGTTTCGATAAGAATAAATAGGAGGATTCCTAAAATACGTAGGTGTGCTGAGATGTTTTTATTATTAGTTATTATATCTCAGTAGATTGTGCTATTATTTTTTATTAAAGTAAAATGAAAACAAATAATTAATGAAACCCTAACCAGTAATAAGTGGCTAACTGATATTACATTTCCGCCTCAGATGGCACGTACGCAACGCGCCTGCTGCGCCGGCACACAAGGTGGCTTCAGGTTTTAAAAACAAGTAATCGCACAGGTGTAAAACGCAGGTATAGGTATGACGATGGTCAACTGTAAAAACGAATCACCACGGAGCGCACCGAAGTGATCTCTCGAAAGCCGCGACTCGCTTTTCTCATCTGTTGGTTACAATTTACAATCCACGGGGCCATAAACGAATTCGGGTAGTGTAAAAAAGCAATGTATAAACATATATTTTAAACCAAAAATATTTTACTGAAGTGATAATCCAACAAGTGTTATGTGTGACCATTTGCCCAAGTGCTTATAACCAAAATATAAAGTGTTGCACAAAGTGTCCGCTTTGAATATGGATTATACAGTGTGATACCTAACGGCGAAGGATTTTTGCAGACAGGTTATAGCAGGTAGGCTTCAAAAATAAAATATCTTTATAAAATTCATACAAAACAGAAAAGATTGTGCGTGTGTGCGTGCAATTGTTACCACGCGTTCATTCGTTCGAGTTCCATGCACCTTGTTTGCCGGAGCACGACGGCGTATCCCAGCACCGAATGCCTCCTTGCCGGGTCGCGCATCTGTTGGAAGGATTGTTGTCTGTTGTAAAACACACGGAAACGTGTCCACAGAACAACAGTCCGATGAACACGACTTTATCACGACTTATTTGTTGTACATGATTCTGTATTGTTAGATTTTGTGAAAAACTTAAATTATTATAGGATAGTCTCAGTTCAATGTCACTGAATTAAAGAATTTTTTTACCTATATAATTAATCACCCCCTACCGATTTGAAGAACCCAATAATTAAGTAACTAAATTGACCTTTGGCTTGATACGTTCAGGGTGAATGCTATACATGTTTAAAATAATGCTTTCTAACTGTTCAAATGCAAAAAAACACACAGTAAAATAATGAATAAAAATATTCAAACAAAAACGTCAAAAAGAATATGACCTTTATTATACTAACTATAGTACTAACTACCCGATTTTCAACATTTAGCTCTGATATTGAAAGATATTTTTCAGAACAGCAAACAAAACTTAAGAGATCTATAAGCTGTTGTTACACAACTTCTTAACCATAGCTTTTTAGAAGCTTTTCTACAGAATATTTTCAACTTAATGAAGCAATGCCGGGGAACGGCTATTTGGAAACATAACATTATCTATATTTTCAAGTGAAAATTGCTTGACATCAAGATGCCCGAAGTTCTTAATGAACTTAAAACCTTTTCGTTAGAAGGCAAAAGCATATTGGAAAAGAAATTTAAAATTCAGTATTACAAAATAAACAATTAAACTAGAATATATTTAATGCAAAATAAAGCTTTTAATTAATTTTGTAATGTTTTTTTTTAAAGCAATTGTTATAGACTAGTACCTACAGCTGTAAGGTTAATTTATAAAAATAGAGTAGAATTTTACAAATGCATTTACAACTTTATTTGTACTAATCGTAAGATAGATGATTCATTCATGAACGATTTTTCCCAGGAGATAACTCAGCCGTAAAAGATAAGAAAAATGAGATAATCATTTTTTATCAAAATTTTTAACTTAATTGATCGATTTAGCGATATTGTACCTAATAAACCCATTAAATTCGGATGAATTAGACGAAGTCGCGATAATCGGTTTAACAGTGTACTTCCAGTAACCGTTACGCAATTGGTCTACTAAGAAGTTTATAGTACTTGCAAAGCATTTTATTGAAGTAATATAAATAAATAAGCAGCTATGCATCATTCCATTTCCGATTAGCCGTTTAAGATAATAGGAAATATTCAAATGCAGATTTTTATGACTGTACGCCTTTTAGTATTGCAATTAAAATTTTGTTTTTCATTTTATATTTCCTTTTTATAAATCTTATTAAATAAATCATTCAGTATCAAATTATATTATTACAAAATGAATTTATTCAAAGTATATTCATGCAGCGCATTACACATCATGCAGATATAAGTAAAAAGTTTAACTTGAATAAAAATAATTAAGTTAAAATTTTTACACTAGTAAAAATAAAAAAGTTCTCTTTGAATATCTCACTTGCTCCTATAAAATTTTCGTTACAATTAATAGAATAAAGAAATTAAAAATTTATAAAGATTCAGTTTTATATTAAATTGTTGATAAAATATCTCATTTTATACAATGAAATTTAGCCAATATTTTTAAATTGTATCTCTATAATATGAAAAACATTCTACCAAGTAAAATAAAAAAACAATAATATATTTGTCCACGTATAAAGTTATCGATGATTTATTAAAAATTAGTCAAAGAAAAATTAGTTATCATTTTTATGTTATTTGCCAATAATTGATAAGACAATATTTATGGAAATAAGTTGCGGGGTAATTATAAAATTTTACATAATTTTCTTTTACAAAAGTAGGTGCTTCAGCAATCGGTTACAGCACAGAAAACATTTTATGTATATGAAGAATATTAAAACACTGTTATGTGTACACTTATTCAATATTTGCCATGAATAGTAGTAGTAGCACAGATATGCCAGAAAACGTTATGTTTGACTCGCGACTTCTTGCGATAACTTAACATCTGCCGGAGAAGATCTCCTCAGGTCAATTATTGGCAAGAAAATGGACATGAGTAAAAATTACATTATATCCGTTTTATTTCAAATGAATCATATAACAGTCTGAGTAGAATTATCTGTTTTAATATATAATATTATTAGACCCATAACTAATTTTATTTCAATATTAGATATCGATTTGAAAATCGTATGTGATCATTTGTACGCTACAACTAATTATCAGAAGATTTTTACAGTAGATTATTCAAATTTGAATAAGTCCGTTTTATATATTACTTGATTTAATCGAATGATTTTGCAAAAGATATAACAATATTATTGCTTTAATTTGATACCAACTTACGATTAAAGCTGTGCAATAAATAGTAGAGCAAGCTTCTATATCACACACCCCAGCAAGAAAAATGACATGTACATATTTTTCAGATTTGAATTTTTGTGGGCATTACAGATTCCAATTAGATTAATCTGGAAAATTGCCATTAGTTAAATTTTTATAAGTTAAATAAAATATAGAGAAATGACAAAACAGGGGCGAGATTTGGGAGATCTGTATGCTATTGTTATAAATTGTACTGAATTGAATCCAAAAGACAATACAAAAAGTCCACAAGTATTGGAATAAGTCGTTTTGTTCCAAGATAGCAATTTGCTTTTAATTTAAAATTTGAAGTTCTTTCGTCTTCTCATCTAAGTTCTTTCACTACTTCCATGTTTTCTTCGTTCATGCCGTACAGAAGACACTCTTTTCCAATATAGGTGCAATCCAGTTTCCTTTTCTGCCTTGTCATTAAGATACGACGTGGGACGTGGGCGCATAATTAATTATCTACATTTTAGTAAAACAATCAATTTATAAGAAATAAATCTTTCACCGTCCTGATTAATGTCGAATCGATGCAATGTTGCAGCAATTCTCTGCATGCAGTTGGCATTCATTAGCGGAGAAAACGTTGAACCGACAGTCTCTGCGGCCATGACCGTTATTATTATATTATTATCTAAGATTTACGTGTTCCACATAATCGAGTTACACGTAAATAGAATTTTCCTTTTTGCATTCCGGTATTGATATCTTACGACTGGGATCGGCACGATTTTCTACACCAGGAATTCGTTCCGAGTTCGAACTTCATTTATTCTCATAATTGTGCATGAATTGTTTACTTCATATCTTGAATTTGCACAATTTTGTGATTTTACTCCAGAAATAATGAATAGGAAAATCTGAGGCCTCGTGTTAATGAGCGAGAAAGCATCTATCAAATAGTTGAAAATGGTCAAGATGAAGATTAAAAATAAGAGCAAATGAATACATCAAAAGGAAAGGATACATCCATAAAAAATGAATTAAACAAATATAAATTACTGAATAATTACCTAAATTTAACGTAAAATAATATGATATATTTCTCCGAGATGATAAGTAAAAGCATAAAAGAATAAATGAAATATAATGTAGATACTGATTGATTTATTTGAAACCAATTAGATCAATTAAGATCACTGAAATCTCACAAAAATCGTTGAAAATAATTAATTTTTCACTATTTCAATAAATAATAAATGATCAAAAAGTTAAATATGTGAATGATTAAATACATTTCCTACAAATGTCCTACAAATGATAATTCAAATAAACAATGTTCTACAAATCCATAAATGTTTTTGTGGCGAACTGGTATGAATAATAATAGAATATCAACCCACTATAAGTGAAAGGCTATTGAAGCTGTTAATCTTGTTTTAATGTTATAACATACGAGTAAAAATAGAGAATTTTAAGAAAACTATAATATAATTGTGTAATTGATCAGAAAACATAATCAAGAGAGTAATTAAAATGTCATCATACTGTTTGTTTATGCATTTTTCGACAGGAATCAGTGTATAATTATACTTTTTTCCGAACAATATAAAAAGTATTAAAACATACATATTTAATAATTCAAAGAACTAAATAGATATATCATACTTTTTGTCAATCGGATAATTTATAACTACATGGCACGAGTGCGATCTCTACTACAACGTGCGTTCGTTTTAGTTAATAATCATTATTATTACTCATAATTTCCCAAAAGCATGATATTTCCTCGTTTTCAAATTATTTACTAAACCAAATACTTTTTTAAGTGCAATGCTTCATTGATTTCACTACTGATTAATGAAAAGAGATATTCATTTGACGTGATTTCGCCGGTCATACATGAAAGCTGATAGAAATCTATCGGTAAGTAATTTGTAACAAAACGTAAATGATCACGCTACATCACAAATAAATAATAATTATGAAATTATTAAGTTACAATTGATAATGTTTCAATTTGGTTCAAAGCTATAACTGACCTGGGAAGTGTGATCCGTCAATTAAATTTTCAAATCATCAGAAGTATTTTCACTATATTATGATCTAGGTCATTTATTTTATCTTTGATCATTATAACTCTACACAATTCCCACGTCAATTTATAATTTTTGCGTGTTAAATGTTTTTGTTTTGGTTTTCTAATATTTTGTATCTTCTTCTTCCTCAACTTCAACTCTTTTTTCATTGAAACATGATAGAACCAAGAAATGAACTATAGTGAAATGATTTCAAAACAAAAATATTCCAACTGTGAAAGTGAATCAAGCCATTCATTCTCATTGTCAGTGTCAGTCTTGATTATTTCTCATAAAAATTAATATGCTGCGAACTATATATGGCACACAATTGTTGATGCTTTCCAAAATAGTACAGAATGGACAAATAAAGAGAGCGTGTAAAATGTCGAATAAAAATTCCGCGGATAAATGCAATATCAAACTATTTAAAAAAAATCTAATTTATTGAG